TTAAACATATATATAGTTTTCTGTGTACAATTTGTTCCTGCATATATACACGCAGCATTGAAAAATGTTTTGGCTTTTAAGGCGATTGACGTTGGAAATTTTGCGAAAAGCATACAGAGACGGCAGAAAATATAAGCGACCATCACAGTTGAATGTTTCCGTATTGTATCATCCCGTAATTACTATTGTATTTTTTGATTAGCTTTAAAAGCATATTTAAATTCAAAGTACGTTGCAGAAAAGAGGTGCACAGGCACAAGAGTAACTATCGGCGACCGGAAACAGTATCTATGTATAATTTTAAGTACACACAATATGTTGTCAAAATAGCAATCCCGTGCAGGCAAAGAAGCCATATACAAGTTGTACACTGCTAGTCCAAAATGTAAATACTGGTCTACGATATAATATTGTTTACATATGTCCCAAGTTTTGACACACCCACCTTCTCGCATCCGTTGTTCGAACTCCAGTAGTGTTGGCTCAATTAGATCCCATCCATCTGGAGGGGGCTTCCGTCTGCTTCTTTTAACTTTAGGCATAGCTTACGGATATACTTTATTCCAACTAAGCTCTCCCGAACGTACACCGCTTTTAAAAATACTCGAGTATATGTTTAATTGTACATGATATTATTTGAGCTTGTTTTTGCACGAACATAGTTTCGAAAATTGTCGAGTGGCGGCTGGCGAGTGGCGAGTGGAGAGGCATTTACTTCACGAATACACACGGGAATAGATCCAGCCTCAATACTTTTACGTTTAAACGGATAAACGTCGAATAGATATACGTGTATGTTAACGTTTATAAAGTGATGGCCCTACGGCCGACACTACGGGTGCATGTTCGGAGCCCTGAGGCTCCAGCTTTTCAATAGTTTTCTCTGGGATGTTTATTTTCATAGCCGGATATTAGGTGGCTTTTTCTCCAGTCTTTTTACCCTGAACATTAACGTTTAAATACAGAACAAATAAGCGTTTACGCCGACGTTTAAACTGCACCCCTTTTAAGAAACAGATTGATATGCTCTGGTGGAACATCTGAGAATTCAGACCAATGAGACGTGAGAATTGAATACTGCGCCAATACATTCCCTCGCAATGCAGTGTAAAACGCCGGTATATGGACCACTTTGACTAATCATATACATATTTACAATATCGCATCAAGGAAGTATTTTAGGATAAAATATAAATACGATGAAATAGTTACACTTGTCTTTTGCTCTAGTAGAGAGATCGTAGCATCCTTTCCTGCTGGGATATTTATGTGCAGTGTATAGTATATGTGTATATTGAAATCGCAGACCAAATTTGGGTGCAAGTGTCAGTAGCCTGCAATCATGAAGTTAGTAAAGAAGGTCATCGAGCGTGATGCCTCGGGGTTTGTTGAACTCATAGCCGAAGAAGGAGAGGACATGTGGCATGTGTACAACCTACTATTGAACGGCGATAGGATCAAAGCCACTACATTTCGGTATGCCTATGAGCATTTAGTGTCGATAGTTTGTTTTCCTCATCAAATTACGAATAAATGCCCTCAAGTATAGATAATTTCCATCGGAGGCTCAATAGAAGTATGTGAAACCACTTTGAATGAGGTTCTTGCAATACTTCCCAACATGACATTGGCACGAAGATGGATACTGTATATTTTTTACATCCAAGCGATGATAGTGCATACAAATACCACTTTCAAAAACCAATAATAAATTTTGCGATATTTGTACCCTCACTAAAGACGGTAGATAGTAGTTATCCACGTACCTTTGTATGCAACCACAAGGATACAAATAGTCATGCACATATATA